GTTAACCACTGAGCCACCAGGGCTCCAAGCAAAGAGTTAATTTGAGCAAAACTATCCTATCGTAGATGTATGATATTCTCGAGAAGCTTAAAAGTCATCTGGGAGAGTAAGATGAAAAAGTTCATGTGAGTGATGATGCAAAATCGTATAGTATTTAACGGTCCTTGCTTAGTACTCCATCCCCTCAGTCTGAAACTGCTACTCACATCACCCATATCTGACTACCGAAATTTTACTCCTCCTTCAAACCCCAAACAAATTCATCTGTCAGAAGTCAAGTCTTCCTGCCTTTTTATACATCGCCCACTGTACTTCACTTGCTGTGATTAACTATAACATATGGCAGAATTTGACATTCCTGTGCAAGTGTTACTTCTGCTATTAGATTATATGTTCCTTGAGAACAGGGGCAGTATTTTATTCTGCTTTGTATCCCTACAGGATACATAATAGTTACTACATAAGTATTAACTGTATAAAACAACTTGTATAAATAGGAAGGTGTGCCAGGTGCTGGTCCTTGACAAAGATTCTTGAATTGGAATGATCAGAAGGTTTATTTGAGGAAATGTACACTAAACTGGGTTTTGAAGTTTGCCAAGAAATCCACCAAGCAAAGGATGAAAGCAAAAATTCACATAATTATCACAAATAAATTCTGTCATGAAGAAGTCACCTTTTAACTTTTTATTTTTAAATAATTTTAACTAAAAGTCGACTACAAGATATAAAGCAGCATTCTTAAAAAAAATAAAAATTCAAAAAATAAACCAAATCTTCCTGAAAGTAGTAGTGTAGAGACAAATGCAAGGAAAAGATTCAAAGCAAAGGAACTTTTTCATAAAAAAAGCCTGACAATTAAATTGTTATAACAACAAATTCCCCTTCTTGAGCCTCATAAAATATAGTAACAAAGTATATAAACCCTTGCATATCACCTAAGACTTTAATGCAGGTACAAGTCCACAGATGTCAGAATTCAGCACTGTATGGGTTTTAGAAAGTTAATATAGAGCATCTTAGGGCAGCTTCCCAAGCACATTCACACTTCTGAAGCAAAACACATGAAGAGTTGCACGAAGTGGGACAACCTATATCAGGTAGCACCCCTACATTAACCACGGAACCAAACGTATCCAAAAAAAAACCACCATGAAAAAACTTCTTACATTTCAGAATTTCAAGTAATGGATTGTAGACCTGTAGATCCTTCAACAGTGATCAGCAAGCCTAGCCAGTGGACACCAGGACTGAGAAATGGTCCACAGTCATGATGTTGGCAAGCACAAGTAGTAGCATTCAGACACAGAAGAAGGAAAGGGGATAGGGAATGAAAGAGGAAAAAAGGGAGGAGTAAAAAAAGGTGTATCAATTGGGAACTGCCACCAATAAACACCTAACTACCTTTGAAGCCAATTGTAACTAAACAGAGTCTCTAGTTAGCAAACTTTAAAATGCCATCAGAGTTCTGTTTGCAATCTATCACCTACAATGTGTCAACACTGTCCTGGGCACTGAGGTTATCAAGAAAGTTAAATCCCAATCTGGACAGACTGTGATTCACTGGTGCAGCTCTCCCTGAAGAACGCTAATATTTGGTAGTTGCCCTGCAAATGTGTGAGGACAAAAACCTCTATATATTTGGTTGTAACAGACAGACAACAAATCCCACTGGGCATATTCTTCGAAGACAGAGACCCAAAGAAAAATTTCCATAATTAAAGGAAACCAAGGTTTTGAAAAAAATGATCTTAAAACTGAAAGACAATTAGAATTCACATTTAAAAAGAAAAATGGCAGGAAAATAAAATTTCTTAAACTATTTGGTAAGAATATAATACCAGCAGAACCCTGATTCACAGACTACCCAGGTATGCAGCTGCATGGGTTACTAGTTATCTGACTCTCACCTCAATAAAAGCCAAATATCCAGAATTATTTACTTAAAACTGCAACAAGAAAAAGATAAAAATCCTTAGATACTACTTCT